AAAAAAAAAAAAAAAAAAGAGAGAGAGAGAGAGAGAGAGAGAGATTTTTAAAAGGTCCAAATACATGTATTGCAATGTTTCAAAATTTATGCCAAATATCTGACCTCACCTAGAAAGATATTATGCTTAGCTAAATTTTAAGGTAAAAGACCACCCAAAATAATTTTAAAAAGGATTTATCTTAACCATGTCCCAGTAACACAAAGTAGGGACAAACCTGATAGTCCATCTGCAGCACAGACAACTCCCCCAAACAGATTAATATCCAACAGATGAACAAAATGCCACAAAAATGATTTTAGTAAGCCTTTAGAAAAATCCTTCTATTTTCATAGATAGACTCGAAAAGAAAGCAAACAGCATCCTAAACTTATAGAGGGCCACCCAATTTCAAAGGATTACAGAAATTGGCATTATCCTAACCAAATTTAGCTGTTATCCCAAAATTTGTACAGAGATTAAATAGAAAATATAGAAAACATACAGACAGAAAGAGATTAAAATGCTAATCTTAGCCCCAAGAAAAATAAGCTTCCTGGGTAAAAAATTTCAGTCCTCTTCTAAGTTACAAACAGATTTTGGAAGCCTCTAAACATTGAAACAGGGCCTTACTTTGAGCCCCTGTCAACAGTTTATAACTGAGGAAAATAAAAATTAGTTACCCTTAAAATATTATACAGACAGCCATGATCAGGTCAGTTCAATAGCCAGTAGTTAGTCTCAGTAGAAAGTTTAAAACATAATAAACCCATTCTCTACCTTAACTAAAAACAAGGTAATGACCTATATCACACGTTCATATTTTTGAAATTAATAAAGTCATAAAATATACATAATTATTAGAGCCAATTTTGCTATATTAAGTAAAACTATTAAAGATGTTCATTCAACCATTTCTTTATATGTAAAGATTATTTTGACATAAGTCCCTCAAAGGTCACTGCTAGCTCAATGTCATATAAAATTCTAAATTAGATCACTGTTTTAAACCATACTGTTGACTTGTTTTTACCCATTAATATTTGAGATACTAACTCCCCATACTTAGGTTAACACTAAGTTTGATAACAGTAATGACAGTTTTTTCATAGATTGATAAACAAAGAACTATTCATTTTTCTACTTCATTTTTATTAATGGTAAAAAATAAAATACCTTTCCTGTGCTTATTAAACACATGTATTTCCTATCCTGGAAAGATGTCTCTTTCTCATATATGTGTGTGTGTGTGTGTGTATCTTATGCCCTTAGTAAAGGCCAAATCTCCTAAATTAAAAACTCTGTCTCTCATTTAATTCCAAAATAAGATAATTATTTAAGTTAATCTAGAACTAGTTTCAAAGTACACATTTTTATATACAACTTATCATGTTCTTCATTATTGGTAATTCTGTTAAAGTCAAATCAAGTCATACATTTAGTAAAGGCTAAACTTCTATTTAACATGGTTCCTTTCCAATTCACTAATGTTAAACTTAACATAACTAGTAAGTGACCTTTGTCAAGTTTTATGACCACCTAAAGATAATAAAACCCTTCTTATTATTTAAATACTTGTACTATTGTCTATAACTTAAATTAATGATGTTACAGCATCCCAGGCCTCTACTCATTTTTTTTTAAATAAAGAAAGGAGGAAAATAGGACCCCATAAGAACACATTAGATCTTACAAAATATTTAATTTTTTCTTAATTGTGATATTGAGAGTCTTTCTGCTGCTTAACATGATTTAGTAAGTTGAATCAAATTTCAAAAGGTAGAGTTCAAGTTGGTCATCATGGAATGGCTGAAAAACCTGATACAGAAAGGTAAATTTCCATCTGCAGAGTTGGCAGCAATGCAGGTTTCACGAGCTTGACAGGTAAGTAAAACTTATGAAGAATTCTGTGGATCCATTTCTCAGGTCCACTTTTAATGTGCTTTGCAATGTGAACTGGAAAGTCCACCCATGTAACTTAGATTGATTATATTGACTATATAGATTAATTATATTGACTATAATGATCGATTACCTATGTTAATCTTATGATACATGTTGGCTGTCTAAAAATATTTTTTTTTTTTTGAGAAAAAGCATATGAGAAACCTAAATCTGCCAACCATTCTGGTCCTTAGAAATTAGGACTATATTTATATATCTGAACAATTGTCAAAATAAAAAGATTATTGAAATAAAATTTTCCTATATAGGCCAGTTATTCACAGACTGGTCTCCTAGAATTTACAAAAACAATTACATAAAGATGCCATAATTCCTAGGAGCTTTGACCCTCAGTGAGATGGCATCCAAAAGGAAGTTTGATACTTAACTTCTGCCTCCAGAATTTTTGTATTACTGACAGACCTAAAACATTCCTTAAATGTGAGGATTAAGAGAAAGGATGATAAATATCCTGTAACCTATAAAAAATGCAACTTGCCTAATTGTATCACTAGTCATAATAGAGAAAAAGGACATTGATCCTTCACGAATGTTCCATTGTCTTATTGTCAGCTGGCATTTTAGAACCCTGCTGTGATGAAATTAAAATTCAGGCTTTAAAACAGGTACCTGCCAATTAACCAGACCTAGGCAAGATCTTAATCTCATGATCCTTAAAGTGTCTACTTAAAAAATTATTGTTTCTACAATCAAGGCCTTTGTGACTATATCTCAAAACTTATGACATGTGAATTTTCTTAATAATTTGAATTAAGTTACTTCCAAGATTCTCCATAGTCAGATGAATACTGATGGAAGGATTGGTACAAAGTTGAAGCCACTGTAATGAATAATACAAATGAGCCCTCTGCTCTATGGTTTGAGGAAAGGCTTAAATGCCACGCCAATTAAATGTGTCTGTGTTACTATGGTCAAACACAATGCTTCCCACTAAAATTGGGAAAAGGTTAAAAAACTTCTGATGAGTGTTTGGCAGAGTAATGATAATAACTTGGGTCTTTTTGAGTCAGTTAAATGACTTCAATCCTGGAGAAATACTGAAGCATTCTGCATGGTATATTATTGGACTGTTATCTTTGCTATTAATCCTCTTTTGTATTGTGACAATATGATGTCATGCCCTCAGAACAAGAATCCAGGAATTCAAGATAACAACTCATCACCTACTCTTTCAAAGAAAAAAGGGGAAATATGTAGGAGCCACTTTGGATAGGAGCTATGCACTCACCTTTAAGTCCTGACTAAAGAGGAACTGGACTGGTATTGTACCTATTGCAATGTAAGTGGACTCGCGTCTGCTCAGATAGAAAGGTGCAGCTCTGGGAATGGGCATTGCCCAACTGGAGTGGGCTGCTTCCTTGTTCCTTGGTAATCCTACCCTTTACCCTTTTTTGGATAGAATGTTCCATGGAACCTCCCCTTGTGTGTTCCAGTGGCTCTCTCTCTTTCCACAGACCTTAAGGTCGCAGAGTCGTCCCTGGATTTTGGAAAGGTACTTTTGTGTGCTCGCGTGCTTTCTTCACCATTTTCTTAAGTTATTGAAGTAGTCAGATTTTGTGAACCCAGTATAGGTCACCAGCTTGGATAGATGTGATAAAGAAGTACTAATTAGGGTCAGAGCATGTCATGAGGAGACTGATGCCTTTATGGAAAGAAGGGAGAAAAATGAGTCTCCTTGCATACATGGACCAAGGAAGGCCATGTGAGGACAAGACTGGCATGAGTGCTCCACCCCAGGACACAACCATGCTGGCACCTGGATCTTTGTCTTCTAGTTTTGAGAAGTGTGAGAAATAAATTTCTGATGTTTAATCCACACAATCTGTGGTGTTATTGTAGCAGTCCAAACTGAACAAGACATTACTACTCACGGGGGAATCTTTTTTTGTCTTTCTAAATCAGATACTGTATTTTCACCTTAAGGAAAATCAAGTGATAGGCTACTGAATAGTCAAGGAGATTATTAGTAAATAAAAACAGTACAACAATCCATATGAAGTGTCATGATGTATTGAGAATATAAAATCGCATCAGCAAATACTTTCTGGCATTAGATATGGATTAAAGCAATTCCTTACCATCACAACAATCAAAAGATCAGCAGTAGTCTCAAACCAGAGAGCTCTCCTAGGGCTCCCCATTGCTTCCAATACAGAATCATAGATTTCCTTTAGTTATTGTCTCAGAAAAGATTCTTTCTAAATAGGATTCATAGAAACTGGCTAATAATCATTTATCTTGAGTTGTGTTTCCTATGGTTATGGGTTTCTTTCTACTTTGGTGTTGAGGTCTCCCTATTGAGAGTGGCCAGAAGCTATGATAGTCACTGTCTTCACAGGTTGGATAAGGGCAGGAGGGAGTGTAAAGCTCAGGTGTGTGTGTCAGGTGAGATGATGAGGATGGGAAACAAAATCCATGAAACAAAGAGCCGGTTCTTCCCATGTTCCAGGGAGGAGAGGAGTGCAGTCAGGACACAGAGAGGAATGGCAGAGGTGACAGGGAGCTTGACAATGTGTGTGTGGGAGATTGAGGAAGAGAGGGAGAGGAGGGCAGAGAGAAAGCAAGATGGGTAGAAGGGGAGAGAGAGCACGAGAGAGAGAGGGAAAATGCCCACTGGGATTATCCTAGAATTAATGCCCATGTGTCTTTTCCTCTAGGATTTCCCATGGAGGTTGCTGATTGGGTAGTTTCAAGATAAAATGTGAGCAGAGGATGGCTCTGGTGTTGATCATTAGGTTCTCTTGTGGTCAGCAGCTGTGTGAGGTTTGGATTTGAACTGTTTTCCTGAATATTTGGCTTTAAGGAGAACTTTAGCATCATCAGTTACCGTGTCAAGGAGATAAAGTTGCAAATAATATATTTTATTGTAGTAAAGAGCTGCACCAAGGGGGCCTCCACCATGTATAAAAAAATTCTTCAAATATCTCAATAACATTTCCCCTATTGTTTCTTCCTTCTCAGTTTCCAACAAAGTTGGAGATTTAATGATTTCTTTGAGTTGTTCTTCTGGCACTTGCAAATGCTTAGCCAAAGTTTTCAGGGATGCATCATCAACTCCAAAAAGGACTCGATACTGGTTTAAACTTGCCTTCAGCTTCTCCACCTCATTGTTACTGAAGAAGATCTTGAAAGGTGTGAAGGCAGATACTCCAGCATTGAAGGCTTCTAGCCAGATATACTGCATCTGAGAATCCCGTTTCCTTTCAATGTCTGCCTCCATAATGTTAGGCAAGGAAAACTTAAAAATGTGGCGCTTTTGAGCAGGGAGATCCTTTATTAGGGTGTCCATCATGATTGGGAAATCATACTCAGATAAATTGTTGTTGGAAATTAAGAATATCTGTGGTTCATCAATGTTATTCTTCTTCAGATTTCTCACACAGTCCTCTCGGATCTGCTGCAGGACGTTTTCTCTGTCAAAGGTAGTTGGCTTAGACATTTCTTCATTTCGTAAATCAGAATCCACCTTGGTTCTTACAAAGTAGAAATTCTTCTTCGTAGTTTTGATTGCCTTGGCCAAGTCTAGGTCAATTTTCTTGAATCGTGTAGCAGAAACAATAATGAAGAAGTCATACTCCCTAAATTTTACTTTGTCCAGATAATCTTTTGGCTCTAAATTAGTGGCTCCAATGGCAGGCAGCTCCCAGATTGTCACACTGGGAAAGTTTGGGTGTTTGTATGCAGTTCTCTCCATGGTCATCTCCACCACCCCAACAGGAGCTGCATCTTTTTCTTCATGTCCAACCCCTCTCAGGGCATTGATGAAACTGGACTTCCCTGCTCCAGACTCCCCTGTCACAGCAATGTCCAGTTGGGTATTGTCAATTTCTTTTAAAGCATACCTGATTGTAGAATTTGCCTCCTGAATGTTCCCTTTTTGTAGGAGTGACACTATAAAACTGAAGGTTTTTTGAGAGATGATTATGCTTCCCATCTCGAAGTTGTTAAAATATGAAGTAAATCTAGGAACCAAAGCTTGGTGTTGAGCATGATTAGGAGTAGCAGAGAACAACTGACCCATGACTGCAAGCAAGCAAAGTAACTGAAAGAAAGAGGGAAGAATAAAGTCGAAAGGGTTATTACACCAGAGAACATCTTACAGCTTTGATCTTACCAAAAGTGCTGTAAACTCAGGGCTATTATGTCCTTAGTTATGTCCTGAGCTGCTTCAGTTGTATCAGTCTGCTTTTTCTTGTTTAAATTCTTTATTAGGGAAAGGTTGAAACTGAAACAAAGTTAGGGAAAACATCATAAAAAACTGCATGTGTTTTTAACTAGCTTCAATCCTAATTCACCTAATCCTACTGCAGGACTCTAAAGCCAACCCAAGATATCATCATTCGGTATATTTCTCCTAATTATCAGGAATTTTTATTAACTTAAGTTCAATAAAATTACCAAACTGTAGTAACAATAATACTTCATTGTCCTCAATTCTTAATCAGATCAAACTTCCCCGACAGCCACGTTTTGTTTGTATTTTTGTTTTGCAATATTGGTATGGGTCTAGATGTTAACAAAGGCAAGCTATTTTATTTGATTGATGTACTTCTCAAGTTTCATTGGTTTGCTTTTTAGGTACTTCTCTTGGCTTTGGAACTCACGTTGTTGAGTTCTTGTCTTTCAGGAGTATTATTAACTTGCAATAATGGTTAAACCCACTAAATGAATAGAACATTTCAGCACATTTGAGTTCATGTCTAGCTCCCTTGTTGTCTTTTAAACAATTTTTTTATGAGAGTAATCTAACTGTACAGAATACTTTTTGAAATGCAACACTTCTTTGGGAAGAGTATCTGAGAAATCCTGCTACTCTTTAATGTCACCATGTGAGATCATTTCTTGTAATAGGTTTATTAAGATATCACTAGCATATAAAAACTGTATATTTACAATTTAATGTTTTGATATATGAACTCTGTTAACTTATAATCAAAGTCCATTTATCTAACAAAACTAGCACCCCTACATTGTCTGTGTGCATGTGTCTGTGTGTGTATGGTGTATAGAGTGAATGTTAAGATCTATTCACATGGCAAATTTTAGGTGTATAATTAAGTATTTTTAATTATTATAATCATTCCATACATTAGGTCTCCAGAACTTGTTCACATTGTGTAACTGAAACTTTGTATCATTTGCCCAACACATCCTTATTATTCCCTTCTTCCAGCCCCTGGCAACCACTCTCTGATTCTATGAGTTTGACTACTTAGGATTCCACATATAAATGAGATCAGGAAGAACACTTTTTACGTGGGTAGCAGAACAGACCAAGAATTTCTAATGTGACTTTAGTGTTAGATTTTCCATAATGTATTCCCAGATCCATCTGAACTTTCTTGGCCTGAGTCTTCAGGTGGATAGCTCCCTCACCTCCCAGCTGCCAGTAAGTGGAGCTATTGAGAGGCAGCAGCAGTGTCTGAGTGTGAAATGAGAGGTGAGAACATGGTCTGCTTGCTGTCTCTTTGCCTGGGCTGTATTTCTGATGGTAGCTGCATCTGCCACTAAGAGAATCACTGCTAAGTGGCCTCAATCAAGTGTTCGTAATCCAATAGAGTTTTTTAGAAAATGTTTCTCCCAGTCTTGCTCCTGTGCTAGCTTTGATAATGGCTTTTTATATTTCCTGGCTTCTGGTGCCTCACTATCCCTTATTGATCTGCCTCACCTGGGCTAACTTTCTGAAGTTGCTCTCGCATCAAACTCTCTTAATTTGAAGGCTTATTGATGAATCCTCCATATACTGTAATACATGTCTCATTTTCTCTTAAGTGAGGTGCTGCAAGGATATGTGCATCCTTTCCTCCCTAAGGATACCATGTATCTGAACAAGTGATACAAAAATAGAATAGCTGAAAATTCTGAATAAATATTCTGTTACCCAAATATATATTTGATTGTGTCATACCATGTTAAATGGTCTTGTCCTATTGTTTCTGAGTTTGATAGAGGGGTGACAATTACATTGTGAAGAAGACTACTAGCTTCATCAACAGAAATTAATAAGCTCTTGCCCTTGAGAACCTAAGTTGTTGCCCATCTCCAGTTTCTACATATGAGAAGTGGCTTAAGATTAACTGTGAAGATAGATTATTAGTGCCTCAAGACAATTCAGAGTTTTCAGAGAATACTAAATGCTTTTCCACTTTTGCACTGATGATTTGGTAATAGCATGTTCCAGTTCAACTGAGTTCCCAAGGCAAAGTCTTGTGTCTTCCTTCCTGTCCTACCTCCTGTCTGTGGAGTCTTTCTCTATGCTTTGTTCCCTGGCTACTGGATATAGAAATTGGATATAGATTGGATATAGATATACAGAGATGAGAGAAGGGAGAAATATGATAGTCTTTCCATATAGGAAGTGTTGGAATTATTCCTGCCTCTATTTCTCAGCTTCAAAGAGCCAAAGAAGATGAAAACAAATGCACTGAGGAATTTAGCTTAGATACATAGAGAATGAGCAAGAATAAACCCAAAAGAGCAAGAGTAAAGACAATAGCAGTGTTTCTCAGTTGCCATACAGGGACAGGGTAATTCACTTACTGCCACTAAAGTCCTACAAGAAACCTGAACTGTGGGCTCCACTGAAGAAAGGTGGAGTAAGCACTCTGGGAGCCATTCTGACTCCAAAACACTTCTTCTATACTTTAAAGGATTATGTGTTTAAGGAGCTTTGGCAAGACTGCCCAGGATAAAACAAAACAGATGATATTGGTGTTCATACTCTCTAGAAAACTAAATCCATCTCAGAATTCCTCTGGCCCTGGTTGTTCAGAATTTCTCATGTTTTCTAGTAGATATTCTGCATCCGCTCCTCAGAAATGGCCTTTGGATTCAGATTTTATTGATCCTTTAATGAATAAAAGAGATAGACTATCTCATTTGACATAGAGAATACAGCCAACATTAAATGGACATTTGAATCCCACTAAAGACAAATCTTCGGTAGGTGCCCTACCACCCTGCATCTGCTTCCATCCCCACCCCTCCTCCACTGTCTTCAACTCTCCTGCCTGTCTCAAATCCTCCTCAGACTGAAAAATTTGAACTCCAGTTTCCCTAACACTCCAGAAGGCTGGGGAACTCATGACCTACCTCTTGAAAGTTTTAATGAAAATGGTAGTGTCTATGAAGACCAGCACGACAAAATACCTCTAGGTCTTCTCTGGAAACCTTATCAGCTGGTTCAGTTCTAAAGTGTCCATAGCCTATGGAAGAAACCAATGTCTCACAAAAATTCCAGAAAGAGCTCTTAAAAAAAAAAAAAAAAAAAAAAGCCGGGCAGGGTGGTGCATACCTGTAATCACAGTGGCTCAGGAGGCTGAGTGTGGTGACTCGGTGACACACGACTAAACCAGTCAGTCCCTCCAGGAGAAGTGGGCTGGCATGAAATAATCACACAAAGACAGAGAAATATCTTTTTCTTTGGGTTCTGTGATGGTCCCTCTGATCCAGTTGCCACAAAGGAGGCAAGGCAGGCAAGAAAGAGAGAGAGAGAGAGCATGCCTCCAACCCAAGTTTTATTGGGGGAAGCTGTTCCAAAGTACATTCTGTCAAAAAAGGGCAAAGGGTAAAAAGGGTAAGGTTCCAACAAACAGGTTGGTGGGTGTAATTCAACCCCATCAGGTGACTGCCCACTCCAGAGCTGCACCTTTCTTATCAGATCAGAGGTAAAGTCCATTTGCATTGCAATGGATGCAATACCAGCCCAGCACCTCTTTAATTCAGGACTTAAAGGTGTGTACATAGTCCTGTCCAGGGTGGTTCCCAATAGCTGAGGCAGGAGGATCATAAGTTCAAAGCCAGCTTCAGCAACAACAAGGCACTAAGCAACTCAGTGAGACCCTGTCTCTAAATAAAATACAAAATAGGGCTGGGGATGTGGTTCCAGTGCCCCCAAGTTCAATCCCTGGTACCCCATCCCCCCACCAGTCTAAAAAACATAAGGGAAAATACTTAACATTGCGACAATTAGAGGAAGAAGGAAGACGTTTGAAGAGCAGAAGAAATTGCCAAGCTGAGTAACTCCAGTCTGGATTGCTGTGAGGGAGTTACAGCAGGTTGCACTGCCTCCACGGTCGGTGCCTTGGTTGGTGCCTTCTTCAACATTGAACTCCCAGGATAACTATATTGTGATCGTCTGCTATAAGCAATGAGGGAACTACAAGGACAATTTCAATTCTGAGTATGATGAGAACAGGACTTTGCTGGCCAAGATGAAAGTGGCAGCTAGAAGTTTTATCAAACATTGTGCAAAACAAACAAATAAACAAACAAACAAACAAAAGAACACACACCGTTCTCCAGATAAAAGAGTATCAGAAGGTTCATGAAGAAGTCTTACAAGAATATCAGCCAATCAAGCACTGCAGTCCTGATTACTAAGGAAAATACAGATGTGAGTATCTTCATAACAAACTGGCTCACATCAAAAGACTAATACTGGATTTGACCAACAGCAAGCAATCATGGCTCCAGAACTCTGCTTGCACCAGAAGATATGAATTAACTTAAGTTTATTTATAGAAAATTACAAATGAGTTCCTCTAAATTCCTAAAAAGATGAAAGTTGGTCCTGGTGAAAGTTTCAGTATTAATAAACTTGAGTCCCCACACCCCCCATTTTACTTTGCTTTCCTGCATTTGAAGCTGCTTTTTTTCTGGTCCTTTCTTCACATTTTCAAAACTTGTGTTTGTTAATAGAAATAATTATTTAGATTTTGGAGCTCCAGTGTCCATAACTCAAATCAATTTATTTCCTTGAAAAACTTATTATTTTTTTTTACTAGAAATAATTTTTAGTACATAGTTGGGGCTCCAATGTCCACCCTTAAAAGTTATGTGTGTTAATAAAAAAATAATGTGCAAGGTGAAATGCTTCTGGAGAAACATAAGCCTATTTTCTGACCTTTTATGAAGGTGAACTCTTTGCTTTCAATAGTAGAATATTTAGAAATTTGCATAAAATTAAAAAAAATTAAAACATTATTTTGGAGGGTTAAAAACAAAATTGTATGAGTTTTT